TTTTTTTTTTTTTTTTTTTTTTTTTTTTTTTTTTTTTTTTTTTTTAATATTTCAATAATACTCTTAAATTTAAAATAAATAAATAAATAACTCTTTAACTTTTTTTTTTTTAATTTTATTGTTAGTTTAATTTGAGATGGAAACTGTTTTAAAAAATACCCTTTAATTCTAAAAAATTTCATTAATATCTTCTAACATTTTAAAAAAATATTTTAATAATATTTCAAAAATACCTTTTTATTACTATTTTAATAAAAAAAAAAATAAAAATATTGACAAAAATTTTAAAATATCGTTAATACCTTCTTTTTTCATATAAATTTTATAAAAAAAAGTTATTTTTAAAAAATATATATTTTTTTTAAATTAGGGTGTTATTGAAAATTTATTTATTTTTGAAGTTTAAAAGAAAATTAATGAAATTTTAATGGTTTTTTTTTAATCTTTTAAAGTTTAGAAAATAAAACATTTTATTAGTTGTTTTACTTAAAATTAAAATTATATTTGGGGATATAAATACTTTTTACTCATCAGTTGAGTGCAGAGTTAATATCAACAAATGGGAACATAATAGCCGGTTCAAGCCAACCCTGCATGCTCCGGTTCAGAAGCACGCCGGTTCGGTTCACACGAACTTTTCTCTCGAGTCTCCCTCTACTCTTAGGACTCTCAACCGAATCTCAAAAGCTAACCTTCCCTGTTCTAAAGTACAAAGAACAAAGCTACCAACGAAGTGGAGCCATTCAAGTTACTATCACCCCTCGCGTCGGAACCTCGGCCCTCCCCGAGCTCTACGAAGCTCATATTCTAATAAACTCGAAACTACCTTGGACGAAAGAGTTGGTCCATCGATGGCGATGGACTTGCTTTCTATGGTCATCTTTCTATTTGTACCTAACGTTTCTAGCGATCTTCGTGTACTTTTGGAGGCCGATTGTGTTTCGTGCAGTGACGCTGGCTCGTTTTGATTTCAATCGGGAAGCTTCGATTAGCAAGGAAGTGGAGAAGTCGTTCGATGAGATGGCGGAGGTAACGGTGGAGTTGTTGAGGAAATGGCAAGAGATGAGGAGGAAGAGGAAGGCTGCATTGTTCGGGTATGACGAAGATGTTGGGTCGACGTCTGCGTCGAGCATAAGTTGTAGTAGAGAGTATATTGGTTCTATTTTCGAGGAAGATGTCGGGGACTCGGAGTCGATGGTTCTAGAAGGTTGGGAGGAGTAGCTTATGGTTTTGTAATTTTGTAATGGACACAATTGGTTAACACCATTGGAAAGAGATTTTGTTAAGATATAGACGACGGGTTATAGGAAATCACGTCATATCAATAGCTAAATCGGCTAGAAGTAAGCTAACGAGGTAAGTGATCATACTACAGTATGGTTAGAAGTTGATGTTTTGTACGATGATACGTATTCACTGATTCTGCACGATATTTATGAAATGGTATATATGGTATGATATGTGAGATATGTTTATGAAATGATATAACTGTCGATGATATGTTATCTTAATGCTACGATACGTGTTATGATGTGACGTGTTGAAGGTACCATATATGCTATGGTGTAACATGTTTGATGATATAAAACAAGTTGTGACGTGTTTTATAATATGATACGGACACGATATGATATGATACGCATGACATGACATAAATTCATGTATGATACGAATGATACGAGAGTCGACCCCAATACATGCCTTCGGAAGGAGGTTGTTTTACATGTAGGGATTTCATGCATTATTGTGTGTTCATGCATCAGGAAATATCGATCTTCTATGATGGTACGGACGCGTACACTACTAGGCCTGAAAACAATAGTTATGTTTATTATAATGCTGCAACGGTTGCTATACCTAACAAGTGTTCGGCATTAACAGCTCCCAAAGAATGCTCACCTATGTGGACCGTGGGTAGAACAGTGAATCCACATCCAATTAATCCGTTTAGAATAGTCGCCTAAGGAAACATAGACTAATATGATTGTATGCACTTGCGAATACTTTTTAAAATACTCAAGCCACATGCTACTTTTATTTCAGGTAAAGGCAAGACACCCTTCTCGAACACGCCAGTGTTTTAAAACGAAGTTTAAACGCTTATTTCCGCACAAAATTAATTAAATTATAATGATAATAACAGCTCTCTCTATATATGTGGACTGAGGAGGACGAGAGAACATTTATTCTCCATTTAAATATAGATTTTTGTCAACGGCTAGTCTTCGCTAGGTCCCGACCCCAACAAAATATAACAAAACTATTAATAAAATATTACTAACATGTTAGAAAAATGTTGTTATTTAGAGAGAGAGAGAGAAAGAGATGGTTACACAATGACAAGAGATTCGGAAAAAAAATAGTTTGTTGTTTTGGATATTGTTTATTTTAAGGTTTGTGTTGTAAAGTTTGTGGATTTTAATTTAACAAAATTCAAATTTTAATAATAATATTATAATTATTATTGTGTGGATACCAAATATTGTTTCAAACGTTAAATTTAAATTTTTTATTTTCTATTTTTAAAATTTCTCTTTCTTCATTATTTCTAGGATCTCATTGCTTAAATATATATTTTTTTAAAAAAATTATTACATTTTAATTTTCAATTATATTTCATCCCGAGTCAATACATTTTCAAAATTTCCATTTTAGTCCTCCAAATTTAAAAAATAACAAAGTGCACGTTTAAACTCTTAGTCGATGAGCTATACCCATGTCGACAATAACAACAGGATATCAAATATGGGTATTAATATTTTACACGAACACTCATGAATGGTACCGAAGATGACTCCGACCCATCTGAATTTCTGATCTTTTGGTCAAACATAAGCGTTAAGATTTGAATCGATAATATAATAAAGTTCGTAAAGAAAAAAAGAAGAAAAAAGAAGAGAAGAAGAAGATCTTATGAATCTATTTTAAGAAAAGAAATTACACCTAACAGAATTTACGCTTATTTCTATCTTCCTTTCAAATTTATTTATTTGGTTTTTTCTTTTTCCATTTTGAACCAATTTTTTTTACTTTTTTACTTTTTTACTTTTTTACTTTTTTTACTGTTTTATTTTCTTTGAATGTTATTGAAATTTGTTCATCTTCCAGTTGAAAGGTATGATTTTTACTGCGACTGAAGCTGTAAAATTATGTTAAATTACCGTTTTTACTGTGTCATGAAATGAATGCAGTTCATGGAGGTCTATGGCGAGCACAGAGCCTCTAAATTTGGTGATGATGATGTTCATGTGGATGTCAATGGTGGCAGCTTGGCTGATAGACGAGCTTCCAAGAGAGGGAGAAATGGGTTCAATATCGCTATGGCTCGGTGCCCATTGGGTTCGTCGATGGTTCGATCTCCTTTCCTCACAATTCCTTCCGGGTTTAGCCCGACCGTGTTGCTTGATTCGCCGATTATGTTGCTCAATACCCATGTGAGATTTCTTCTTTCTTCTTGTTTTCTTGTGATTTGAACGTCTGATCTTGAGGAATGATCAGATCTGGTGAACGAACGAGCTAATCGAGAATATTTTGTTATTGAAATCGTATGGATCTCTTGTTGGGTTGTTTTAGTTTTACGTGGAAATCTTAACCGTAGAGGTATTTGATCTCGTTCTAGATTAGGATGATGTTTGGAGGATGAATTCTTCGAACTAGCTAGGGTTAATAAGAGCTAATGTAAATGATAAAAGGTTTCGAAGAAATGGATTCGGTTGGTTTCTAAACTAATAGATTTGATTGGATTGGATCGGATGTTATGTCATGTCAGGATATTCCATCTCCAACAACGGGGACGTTTCCGATACATTCCATAAAGGATGAGAATTCGTTGCTGAATCCTATCATGCTTGAAGATGGGAGTAGCTATGGCAGTGAGGATTCGTACTACAGGTTCACGCCTCGTGGGGAGCTCCGGCTTGAAAATCAGGTAATTGATTAACGCTATAATTTTTTCGAATATGTGAACGAGAAGGCATTGCTTCTCGAGTAAGATATGACACTCGAGTAGTACAAGAATAATGCATGAATGAAATAAGACCATATCTAAATGAGAAACATCTCGAAGATATACAAATAGGGTAAAGATTGCCTTAAAAACGATAGTTATACTAACAGAGTGTAGTTTCTTCTTCGGTTGCTGTTTTAGAACAATTCTATGTTGGATGATCTCGAAAAAATTTTGTGCGGACAACCAAGACAACTAAATAACATGATCGGGATGCTAATGATTGTTAGGATCATTAGACATTGAATTCTAATTCAAATCCCGAGTTTGAGTATTTCAATGAATAATAATATTAAAAAAATTAAAGCGAAACATAAAATCTTATACGAGCCAAAACCTTTTCAAGGCCTTCAACCCTTTAAAACTCGGTTTATAGATTATATAGTCATGATTTTTCGTTATATATAGATTTTTTTTTTTTTGAAATATTTATCTAAAAAAATATTTGATTAGTTTCAAAATAAAATATTATATATGTGATTAGGATACATATTTATGTTATTTATTATAGTAATTTTATTTTATTAAGTTTGGTGGAAGGAATTATTAATTCCAAACTATTTTTTTTTAATTTAATTTATTTATTATTATTTTTTTATATATATAATAAATTCTTAAGTAGGGACTCCCTGAATAGGAATCTATTGTAATGACTCTAACTAACTCTTAAAACACGAACGTCCTAGGTTTAACTCATCGTATAAGATGTCCTTTTCCTCGTCTTTGTCTGGTTTTTTTCTTAGAAATATTGAGTATTAAAAATACTCGAGTAACTAACAATAATGATAATGATTTATGATTCGAACTTTTGGTTGTTTAGGAGAAAGATATTGACTCTATGATATAGTTTGACCCAGATTAACGTACCAACTTTTCAAATAGAATTATAAAAGCTCGTATAGTAACGACTTTGCTCTTAAAACACGACTTACCCATGATTAAAAACCTTTAAATCTATCTCAAAATCAAACTCGGGTTTATCTCATGCAAGGTCAACCGTCTAAGATGCTCTTGTTCTCGTCCTTGTCTGATTTTTTTTTTTTTAGAAATATTGAGTATTAAAAATACTCGAGTAACTAACCAGAATGATTCATGATTCGAACTTTTACTCGTTTAGGAAGGCGAAACGGATCATTATCAGGGGGTCGAATCAGAGAAAACACTGATGGATTATGAATTACTAGCTGAATTTCCCAAAGAGGGTTGCTCTGTATCAGAACAATATGAACTGGGTTCATCCTCTACTGATAAGAACAATGTGGAAACCTGTCTTTCCTCTGTAACTCATAATCAAGACATTGAGCAGCCGGCGGCGCCGCCACCGCCGCCGTTAGAAACAGAACACAAAGGGTCTTATGTTCCTGTCGGAATGCTAAAAACATCAGAAGATGGATACAACTGGAGAAAGTACGGCCAGAAACAGGTGAAGGGCAGCGAATATCCAAGAAGCTATTACAAATGCACGCATCCAAATTGTATAGTAAAGAAGAAGGTGGAGCGATCGCTTGACGGTCAGATCACAGAGATTATATATACCGGCGCTCATAATCATTCTAAGCCGGACCCCACTCGCCGGGCTGTGCTTGGATCAGTGCTTGCTCCAGATGATGCTCCGGACACCGGCGAAGGCGGTGGAAGCCGCGCCAAACTTGAAGGTGCACTGCCATGGCGGAACAGTCACTATGGGGTGAAGGATTGGAGCGTTGATGGGCTAGAAAGAACATCCTCTGTTTCAGCTGTGACAGAGCTTTCTGAGCCATTGTATGGGAAAACTGTTGGTGGGTTTGAATCCATTGAAACTCCCGAGCTTTCCTCCACTCTTGCTAGCCATGATGATGACGACGGCGGCGGCGGCGGAGGAAGCGGCGGCGGTGGAAACGATGATGATGAACTCACAAATCAGGGGAGTATTTCAGCTGATGATGCAGAGCCTGAGCTGAAAAGAAGGTAAAAAACAACAAAAAAAACATCATGGGGTTTGTTAAAAACGTGTTTTTGTTCATTAATTACAAGGTTTAATCATTGTTTCAGACGGAAAGAGGGGATTTCCATGGAGACAAGCTTGGGTTCGCGCTCTGTTCGTGAACAGAGAGTAGTAGTTCAAATCGAAACAGAGTTCGACATACTTGAAGATGGGTATCGATGGAGGAAATATGGCCAAAAAGTTGTGAAAGGAAACCCAAATCCAAGGTAAAAAAACATTCAAATCCAAGCTAGAAATCGTTTCTATTGCATTTTATGAAATGGGTTTGTTCTTCAGGAGCTATTACAAGTGCACGAGTGCAGGGTGTTCAGTAAGAAAACATGTCGAGAGAGCATCGCATGATTTGAAATGTGTAATAACAACGTACGAAGGAAAGCACAATCATTTAGTGCCAGCAGCGAGGAACAGCAGCAGCAGCAGCAGTAGCAGCAGCAGCACCGCGCAAGCCTCCTCTGCTGCTGCTGCTACTCAGGCGGCGGCGGCGCCGACAAGAAAGTCAGAAACACAAATCCAAGATCTTTCCACACGGTTTTATCCGACACCTGAATTCAGCAGCCATGAGTATCAGCGGTCGTTTGGAACAGCGCCGCCATTTTGTCAGCTGAAGTTCCCTCCATTGCAGACGGCCTTCCCTGCTTTGGACTTCCCCATTTCATTGCCATTGAGCCAAAATCTGTCGGCTTTTCAGGTGTTCTTGGCTGAGAGATTCCTCACGCCAAAACAGGAGCATGAGGAGGATAATATCTATGCTTCTTTTCAGGCAATGACTGATACTTCAAGTGGATCTTCTTCTTCCTCTGTTTCCTCTGTTTATCAGCAAGTTATGGGGAAATTTCCATAGCTTTTTCGTTGTTAAAGCTCAGAAATCCATATAAAAGCTTGTTTTTCTGATCAATTTGTGGATTATTTCAGCTAAAAGATGGCTATTTGGGAATAGACCATTAAGGTTATGAAGAAGAATGGTCTGTGGGAGGTCGTGAAGTCAGTTCTCTGGTGGCTAATTTGGTCGATATTGGTGGCTACCACCTCAGGTTAGATTCATGAACTGAAGAACATTATTGAGTTTCTTGATCTTAACTGTTGCAGGTGAAGAAGCAAGGCCTGAGTTCTTCATTTCCAGTGTTCTAGATGAATCAGAGGCTTAATGTATGTAAGTTGTGGGATGAAAAAATGTAATAAAAGATCGGATCGTCATATATTTGTTCGTTCGTTGTAACTTCGTTATAGGAAAATAATAAATATGTTATGAGATGATTATACGTGATTTTGATATTCATGATATTCATTTAAATGTGTTATGAACTCTTATACGTGATACGTTCTTTAATTTAGATAGCGTGTCAATAAAAGCCTTTTGTTTTGTGGATATGACTATAAATGGGACGTTTATAGATATAATGTCATTAAAATAAAGTTGACCCATTTTTATGTTTTGATCATTGGTTCGGGAGATATGGTTAGATCACGCTTGGCCTTATAAAGTGGTCAGTAGTAGTTGAGTTCGGACAAAAATTTAGTAGTAGTTGAGTGGCACCATGATCCTCACGTATCCAAAACAATTGTTAGATCGAAGCTTTGAATTTCATTGGGGTGAAAATGCCTCTAATAGAGGTTCACACTACTAATCTTAAAAGAATGGCCAAGAATGAAATGTATTAACAAAGAGAAATACATGAGATTGACTTACTATTGTAAAATCATAGCGCTCTTCCCAAATTGTGTGTGTTTGTTTCATTTTTAATTGTTTTAATAAAAAAAATTTACCCGTACTTTTTGGAAACCATTATTGAAATAATTATTGTGATGCAAAGCATGTGTGAAGAAAAAAAATTTACCCGTACTTTTTGAAACCATTATTGAAATAATTTTTGTGATGCAAAGCATGTGTGAAGATCAATTTCAAAGTATTGTAATAACTGACATTGAAACGATCAAAAATCAAGAGAACGAGCAAGAATGTATGTAAAAGTTGAAAATAGTTGGGGAGAATGTGTAAATACGATCCAGTTTCGCCCATCGTAGGTTATGTCACAAAACATTCATTAAAGTAACTCTCTCAATTCAAGTTGGTTTCAATTGATGGCAGTCTAACCTCGACACAAATGTGGGAGACTATTTAAACAACGAAAACAAATTATTTTTTTATTTTGTTAAATTATTATTATTTGGCAAGAATATAAGATATCTTCTAATTCCAAGGAGTCGAACATCACTAGTTAGATGCCCACGAACATATAAATTATTCCTTCAAAACAAATGCGATTAACTAAAATGACAGGCACCATATGAATGAGTATCAATAACTCTAGTCATATGAAGATTCTAATTATCTAAATTTATGAAAAGCAAACAACACTAAAATAATAATAAATAAATAAACATTTGCTCGGTTGATCTCGAAAATACAAGGAACAGACACGAGTTAAGGCAACAACGAGCAAGAGTCATGAGTAGTTCAGGCCGTAAAGACCGAGAACGAAAAATATTAAATAACCTAAAAAGTCTACATACACATACACACGCCAAGAACATAAAACCAAACAGCAAAAGCAACATGCCAGGACATACACCCAAGTTTGAGAAAACTGGAAGGGTTTCTCCCAAATAGATGAGCAGAATCAATCTTAAAAACCTAACCTGATAATAAAGCTCTACCATTAGAATATGCTATTTGCTTTATACCAAGAGGATTGTTTCTCCTATAAAAAAACTCTAAGCTTCCATTCAGAAATATAGAATGTAGTCCACAAAAACAAAAGTCCAAACACTATATAAGGAATCAAACTCCAATCCAAAAGAATTACACGAAGCTTGATAACAGGATGATTGAGATTAGCCACTAAAAGACCAATGCTTCTACCAGCAGAGAATTGTGGTGCAGATGCTACTTGGAGACCAAGTACAAGGTGAACAAAAGGTAAGATGGGCGACTGACAAGAATAGAATAGTGTACTGCTATAGCATATATTCTCTTCTTTGGTCTTTTTTTTTTTGGGCTTCCCTCAAGGTTTTAAAACATGTCGGTTAGGAAGAGGTTTCCACACCCTTATAAGGAATCTTCGTCCCCCCTCCAATCGACGTGGGATCTCACAATCTACCCCCTAGGAAGCCCAGCGTCCTTGCTGACACCACTTGGTGTCTAGCTCTAATAACATTTGTAACGCCCAAGCCACCGCTAACAAATATTGTTCTCCTTGAGCTTTCCCTTTCAGGATTCCCCTCAAAAGTTAAAAACATGTATGATAGTGAGAGGTTTCCACACCCTTATGAGGAATGCTTCGTTTCCCTCTCCAACCAACATGGGGTCTCAAAAACACAAATACGTAAATGTATACAAAAATATTGATATATTGCTATTAAGCATCTCAATTATATAAAGTTCGGTAGATGATAGAAACTCAAAGGCACTCATGACATGGGACAAAGAAACAAGGCACAAACTTGTTGAAAAAAAACCATGATAATTGACAACAACGAAACTCGGTCATTCATCTGATTCACAACTTCAGCTATCTTACTAATGCCAAACGGCCCAGCTTTCTCAACAGCTAACACAATTCAAACTACCATACAAAGATGATAGAATGTTAAAACATTTAACTTACATCAGGGAAGCCATGGAGACCACATTTGGATTCATGATTTCGTCCCTTCATAGTTGGGTCAACCATTAATCAGTTCCCAGTAATCTACTTCCTAAATATCAAAACAATAACAGATATCACAGAATATATTCTTTAGTAATGAACATCTTAAGCCCACAACAACCCAAAAACAAAATTCTAAAGTTTATTTCTCACCGGGCCACTCAAAAATTCACTTAAATCAAGCATGATAGCAGAGCAATAAGAATAGGAGCACCTCCATCGTTAACAGAACAACCATGATCATGTCTTCTTTTATGTAATATGCATAATTGCAAGAAGCTCATATGTTTTACTCAAACACCTTACAGTTCCACTTCCCATCAGCACCAGAGACAAAACATAGAGAGAACAAGATAATAAAGAAAAAGGGAAAAAACAAAAACAGAAACACCCAATACCATAGAATTGAGCCCACCCACCATTATCATCATCCTTGATCACCCAGAAATTCGGATTTCATCACTTCTTTAAGCTACCTCTCACACCCGGTTTGACCTTAGACGCCTCGGCAGCACGATCAACGTGGAGATTCGTAACCTTGTCCTCCTCAAAAGGGATTTTGGGGTGCTTCGACTCGTGATGAATCTGCATAGTCTTTACATCAGGCGCCGTAATCTTGCAGTGTGGACACTCGAACTTGGCATGGCCGCCCTTAACTTGGCCGGACCGGTCAGCGAGACCGGCCTTTCCGCCACCTCTATTGGTGGTGGCTGCGTCGATCTTCGCGGCGATCTCTTTCGCGGTGTGCTTCTTCGGCTTAGCCTTCCCCGTCATGGTTGATTGATTGTTGCTGTGCTTTCTTTCTGGGAAAATCAAATGAAATCGATCGTTCTTAAAGAATTTTGTTTATGATCGAGAGAGAACACACGTTCCGAATTGGGAGGGGGGGGATTTTTGACAAAAACAGGATTGGGTGGAGAGAAACCCTAGCTACGGTGAATCCAACCATGGCGCTTGCTTTATTTATAGAGGCTAATTTTGTATTTTTCTCTTTTTATTTATTTATTTATTTACTTATTATATTTTTTGGCTTGTGTATACATTTTTCATTCATGTTTAATTTAAACATTATTATTATTATTATTTTGGAATATTTGATCTAAATTTGATTTTATTTAGAATTAAAATAAAACATGTTAATAAACACAAACGTCTCGTAAAATATTAATCTTCTTAATTAGAGAATTTACGAGAGGGTAAATATTTCATGGGGTTTGTAACGACCCTATTTTTTTCTACTATTTAAGTCGTTACCGTATGCATGATGTGATCTTTTTATATGGCAACCTTTATTTTAAATAGTTCATAAACGATGTCATGGACTTACATGTTACTAACCTAAGACTGATAAGCAAAACAAGAATGCAGATACCCTAATATCGATTCCATGGTTTGTAATGTGATATCGCTGTCATCCGTATAGGAGTATCTTGCCTTTACCTGAAATCTAAGAGTAGTACGTGACTTTAAGTGACTCCTTTATTGAGGTAAGGGAATGCAAGCACATACAATATGGGACCTATCTTTTTATCATGACATATCATGATTTTAGGCCGTTTTTCTATTTGGGTAAAATTGTATGTGTAGTACTTCTCTATATATGACCCACACGTGTGAGTATGAGTCCACCTAGCGGGCTCACTCACCCGTTAAGAAGGGGTGATTGAACTGAAGACCTGAGTCGTCTAGTTCGTGTGCTTGGATACTGCGATGATGGAAATAGCCACATGCTTGTTTCCTCTTTAATAACCCTCTAAATCCAGAACTCAAATAGAACATCATACATTCCAATATGCAAGTAATCTTAGCCTCTTAGGCAGGAGGTGAGCAGCCTCTTCCTTTTCGCTTGGTTACGGGACAGCATTTGAACTCGAAGCTAGGATCAGATCTAATTGGATTCCACAAATCCAGTCAATTGGGTCTTTTCCTATCCAAACGAATCCAAGAACTTCGAACGACCGGTATGTTTTGGACGGTAGAATGGGGAGAGTGGGAATCGTGCCCATTCTCTCTCCAGACACGAGCAGGAACATCAAAATGAAAGACCAAAGACATGCACATGACACGGAACGGCAGCAAAAAGAGTTTATCAACTACGTACCAATTCATTGTGCATTGAAACTGGCATTAGAGGGACTAGAGGATATGCGCCACCAGATTGGTTCAGATCTTCACTGGTGAATACCAATGTCGATGAGGACTTGAAGTATCGACCTTTAAGATGATAAATTGTGTCATTATCTATTAAATTATACTCGAATTAACAATAAGGAGCCACACACTCACACCAAATGATATGATAGGCCACCCCAAATCTCTGACCAGAGTACAATACAACAGAAACAAACAACACAGCAGAGAAGAAGCATGGTTGAATCTACTTCCAAACCTCCCATCTTTTGGGTATATTCTATCAATGCCAACACACATTCAGAAAAATAACACCCAAATAAAAAAACTTCAAGACTCCTTAAGAGACATTTCATCGAACACCTTACGAGCATAAACCAAAGCTCACCAAAAAAACAGAGGAAAAAGCTCTCATCTTTCTCGTCTTTCTAATCTTCTCACACTATAGTAGCAGAAATCCAAACCCCATCCAACAAACTCACAACGCCATGAAAGCCAAAAAAAAAAAGAAAGAAAAAAAGTTAAGTCTGTCAGACCGCCATGCGACCATCCCAGTCGAACTGAGTCGGCCAAGAACGATCCTCTACAGCCGCAGGACCGAAGCCCATTAGCCATTAATCACGCTCTAGCCGCAGGACAGTGGTTCATCCACCAGACTTCGGTTCTTGCCTCCTTAGAAACTCAGGGAGGCAGTTGTACAACCTATAGAACAGATCCTGTTCAAGTAAGGTCGTGCCCCTCCAGCTTCCTCTCTACCTTTAAATACTATTAATCTTAGGTGACAATTCTCGATGTGGTACATGACCACTTTGTTTTAGGTTTAAAAATAATCTAGCGGCTGGCTTTAATATATCTATATTATTTATCATTTATCAAAAAATATTTCTTCTTTTTTCCAAAAATTAGTGTCATCATCGCTCAAATTTATTTTCCAATATTTTAGTTAATATGAAATCATAATTTAAAATAAAACTTATCAATTTTTTTCTTTTTGATCAATTTGAACATACTTTTTATATTTTATTTTTGTGTCAAAATATGTTATTATATATATTTAAATTACAGATCTATCGAACAAAATAATTAAAATCGAGAGTTTAGAACCCGAGCGAAATCTTCTAACCCTTCCTATGTTAAGTGTGTTGAGCAAACATCATACTAATAAACAGCTTAACAATATAGACTCGAGATAATCAAATAACATACATACGAATTCCAACAGATAAAGTAGAGAAGGAGTCTTAGACTATTCTTTCATTCTTTCCACCTTAAGGGACGATTAACAAAAAATAATTAGGTTTTTCTCGAAGCTTGAAGGAACGGAATGAAAAAGAGAACAATCTAATCTATCCCTAGTAGATATTGTCTACTTTGGCCTATTACATATCACCGTCAATCTCACAGTTTTAAAATACGTTTGTTAGGGGGAGGTTTCCACAGTATTATAAGAAATGTTTCGTTCCCCTCGTGGGATCTCACATTAGCCTCCTTATTTTGAGACATTATATCCTTGGGGTTGAGCCCGGTAACAAAGGAATCCAAAAAAAATTTAGAGTATAGCACCGTGATAAAATACTACCTTCGTGATTGGACCATATTACTAATGTTTGATTAAATAATAATAATAAATTGCATTTATGTTTTTTTTTATTGTAAGTGAATACATTAAAAAGACTAGAACGGAACAAAGTGGACATGTAAAAGGATTATGAGATGCTCTTCTTAGCCGATGCGCGTTTTACTCAGCAGTCAAAACTAAAAGTTATTTCAATCGTAGATATTAATGAAACAGAGTAGATAAGAAACCCGACTACCAAGCAAGAGTACAGGATATTGGTCCATGTACCCCAATTTTGTGGAATCCTAGGGTTTAATTTGGTTTGGTCTCTTAACCTAATTCAAACAAGAATGGACAAAAATCTCGTCTATATTCCTTGTTTTGTAGATCACGTTATTCCAGAAAGGTTGAGTGCATTACTATCCTAGTAGTTGTTGGATCGATATGACAACCCTGGTGAATAGGGTTTCAACCATATGTAATTATTCAATTTTTTTTTTTTTAATAACAATCAAACTTGATACCGTACCATAAAACTTAACAATAATTTAGAACTTAAATAGGAAAAGGGTTAGAAAATATAATAATTTTATAGTGGTTCGGTTAAACTCGACCTACTCCACTCCCCAAGCGCCTCTTGAGAATTTGAATAAAACTTTATGACTCATTCCTCGGATCAGAGCCCAACCGCTACACTACTCCTTTTACGAGTGCAAGAGCAAACTCAATCCTTTCCACGGCTCAGGATCAAACCGGTACACCACTCTTTTTACGAGTTCAAGAGCAAAATCAATCCTTTCCACGGCTCAGGATCAAACCAGTACAATTATTTGAAATCTTATAGAAACACACCACAACACTCTGAAGTAATAGACATCCCTCTCCGAAATAAGATAAAAAAAAATAGAATTGGAAGTTTTGGAGAGAACAACAAACAACGGAGGCTTTTTTTAAAAAGTTTAGATCGAGGAAACAAATGTTGTGTGGTGTGTTCTGAAAAATACGAAGAGGTGATGAATTTAAATAGCGATCAAGTTGTAAAAATATGAATTGATACAGACCACTAAAACGTGAAGCGAAACATGGACCACGAAAAATAATATTTATTTATTTTTAAATTTATCTAAAAAATTATAAATTATAGACCACGTGTTTTATTTATATATATATATAACATATTTAAATGTAATAATATAAATAAAATGTTATGAAAAGGGTGTGTAACATTTTAAAAATAATTAAAAGTTTTATAAATTTAAATGAAATTTTTATAATTGAAATGATTTTGTAATTCAAAAAATTATCACATAAATGAAATCATTATAATTTTTTTCTATTTAAAAGTAACCGAAAACTTTTATAAATTTATAGTAATTGAAAACTCTACTTTGTTACTCTACTCATACTTCAATTGGTTTATGATGTCAATTTTGCCGCTGGTCTATCAATTTTGTCACCACATCATCACGTCATCACGTCTTGTTTTGAATTTGATTGGTCCATGATGTCAATTTTGCCACCACATCATCAGGGTATTTGAGTATTTGTTTTGACTGGAACTTTTTCGTTTTATCTCTAATTTGAGTGAACAAAAAAAGACGTTGAGATCCCAATATTCCCAACCTTACACTAAAGACGTTGAAATCGTTATTTCCAACCTTACACTATGGACAAAAATATCGAGAATGATTAATAATTGAAAATAAGTTTGTTATCATCGAAATATCAATTAATTAATTAATTTGAGTTGCCAACTGTTAACATCTAAAATACATTTATTATTATTATTATAAAATATCATAGCAGTAAAAACGCAATAATATTTTATGTGCTCTATTTTTAATATTAATATATATTGTTTCAACAGTAATTATATTAGTCCTTTGTAAAAAAAAAAAAAAAAAAATGTTAAGAATATTCAACATTAAACAATAATAAATAAATAAAAATTCACATCAAAGTAATTATAATAAGTCAATATCTAAATTCTCAACAAATAATAAGAATCCATACAGAACTATACATTAAAAAAACCAACAAATAAAAAAACAGCATATACTATCCCACATATTTATTATTTTTTTCTTTTTCTTTTTTTCTATTATATTAATGAAAAAATAAGGGGGAAAAAAGAAAAAAGAAAAAAGAAAAAAATATATGAACTGAGCATCAATGTGGACCCTAAAAATATAGACTTTATGTTTTGACAAGAACTTGATATTATGTGCAATAAGGAAGAAGGTTGATGTTTTTTCCTCTCTAAACTGATGTTGGTTGGGGTTTCTGCAAATTTTCTTCTCGGTAGACCAGCCTCCTCTTGCTTTGGCTGTAACCTTGGTACTGGTATATGATGCTGTAAACACATTGCCTCAGCAAACTGATGTCGAACGTCTCGATGAATTGTAGGTCAGTCGTCCTTGACTTCATGCCTGCAAATCGCTGGTACTCCTCGAACACTGATGTCAAGCACCAGTTCTGAAACTTTCTCAGGCAACCGACCAGCGAGCCTGTTCGATGCTGCAATGGGGAGGATAACACAAAGGGTTTATGAGATTTTGAAAACAACCTCCTTTCTATGTGACTGTGTCAATGAAACTGTCTCTACCCAGAAGGTTACCCATTGAAGCTCGTTTGGTAATGTTTTCGTTATCGGTTTTCTAATTTCATGGAAGTATGTATGCAGAGTTGTTCAAAATCATGTTCTTTGTTTTCAAAGTTCGATAGTTAGTGAAGTTTCAATATGTTTAAGCCTCCGAAACACAACCAAGAACATGTCGTTATCAAATGGGACCTTATGATCACAATTTTACCAAGTTCTTTGTTTTCAAAATTCAATAGTTAGAGAAGTTTCTATATGCTTAAGCCCCAAGAACATGGCCAAGAACATGCCGTTATCAAACAAGACCTTATGATTCGCAATTTTACCTGGTTCTTTGTTTTCAAAATTTGATAGTTAAGAGAAGTTTCTATATGCTTAAGCCTCAGAAACATAGGCAAGAACATGACATTATCAAACAGGACTCTACGATTCACAAGTTTACCTTGGTTCTTTGTTTTTAAAATTTGATAGTTAGTAATGTTTCTATATGCTTAAGCCTCAGAAACATAGCCAAGAACATGACATTATCGAACCCGACCTAACGATCTACAAGTTTAGGATATAGGTAGAATTCAATATCAATAAATAGGATGGATAGGATCAGGACAATACCTTTCCACGCTTGCAGTGGATCAAAATGGGATGATTCCTAACATCTGAAAACAAAAGATATGATAACAAACAAATTAAAAAAATGTTCTAAGACTCTGTAAAGACCATGATAAACAAGAACAAGAAGATAAACAGAAACCAAAATCCACAATACCAATTAGGATTTTTAGGGCATCCAGAATAGCATCCTTGGGCATTGAAACGAAAGGCTCCTGCAATCCAAGATATTACTACTGATTATAGCCAGCAAATTCATATGCAACTCAATCAAGCCATTAGTAGAACAACAACACAGTACCTTTTTTCCTTCGATTTTGAATTGAAAAAGCTTGATGTTATTGGCTCTAAGAAACTCCAAATTCTCCTCTGGATAGGGTTCTGGACACAGATAGCTGATTCAAGAAGGAAATCGGAATCAGATTCAATCGAGAGAGAACACAACAATCTATCTCTTGTTTCAATCAAAGAGCCAAAAAATTCATCTCATCCTATTCAAAGAAACCAATCCCGCAATCTTCATCAGAAACCAACAAACTCAACACAAATCTCTTCAAATTCATCTCAAATCTTAAATTAACCAACAAAATCGCCTATAAACAAATTCGACCTCACAACCAAACCAAATGGGGGAAAAAAGAAAACAATAATCCAGAACATCATATAGCAATGACAACATAGCAAAACAAACCAGAAACAGAAAAAAAAAAAAAAAAAAAAACAGGAATATGCATAAGAACAACAAAACTGAGAATCGCAAAATCAAGAAAACGAAGAAGAACCGAATGAAAGGATTAGTGATACGAACATGATGGAGCGGAGGTTGAGGTTCTTGAGGAAGGGGAAATTAGCCGGCCGAGGGAAACCGGATCGGAAAATACCATCCTCAACCATGGAGAAGTTGGAAGGAGGAAGAAGAACGTCGTCGACATCGTTTTCTTCCACTTCAAGCCTCATAATGGTGAACA